ATTTTCCTCTGGAACAGTAAACATGGTTTTATGCTGCGTTCGCTCTGCAGATGCTGTGAAGTGGTTGGTAAAAACCTGAAGAAAATCTTTTATTTTTAAAATAAATTAAAAACACATAGCAGGTTGTTTCCGTCTGTGAATCTGCTCTTTACAACCAAGAACTTTGTTGTTTTTATCTGAATTTTATTAGAGATCAACAGAAAGGAAAGCAAAGATGTGAAAAAAGAACAGTTTTAAAGCTTTTCCTCAGAGACTGTTGCAATAAGCAAATAGTCGATTAATGGCATGATGAATAAAAATAAGCTCAATCATTTCAGTTCTGGTGATTAATATCTCTTGAAGGGCAGTTTTGTTTTCAGAAACTTCATAATCCATTTTATGAAATGAATTGTGATGGTTTCAGTTCTGTGTATTTTAAAACTTTTGTTTTGGTTGTCATGTTTTATTTTGGATATTTAAAATGTTTTCTAGTTTCAATGTTTTGTTGTTGTTGTTTTACTAAATTAAAGTTTGTTAGTCTTTAAGAGGGCGGATTTACATAATTATGCTGTTATCTTTATATTACTTGAAAATAATCTCAAAACAGCAAAAATATTGTTTATCTCAATAATTACTGGATCAATTAGTCATCCAGCAATGTTATACATGAATTTTATTTATTTCAAACATCCATCCATTTTCTTACACCCTTGTCCCTTGGTGGGGTCTGGAGGGTTGCTGGTGCCTCTCCAGCTGATGTTCAGGGCGAGAGGTGGGGTCACCCTGGACCGAGTGTTGTGGGAGGAAACCGGAGTACCCAGAGAGAACCCACCATGCACAGGGAGAACATGCAAACTCCATGCAGAAAGATCCCAGGCTGGGAAACGAACCCAGGACCTTTTTGCTGCAAGGCAACAGTGCTACCAACTGCGCCACTATGCAGCACCTATTTCAGGCCTGTTTCAAACATTTATATATTGTGCAAGAATAGCTACTGTTGTTGCCAGGAATAATTTAATTTGTAAAAAGTTGTCTTGCATAAATGTATGTAGCTATTTTCCACCAAGTAATAAAAATTATAATAGTAACCTTTACAAGCTGAAGGTGACATGAGGTCAGAGTGAAAAAGGAGGAAACAGCAGCACAATGAAAACCCTGAACGTTGCTATGCAACAGACCGAAGCTAAAGGAGCTAACTGTGGTTAACTTTAACCGCTAAATAAACACCAGATAATAGCAGTGAAATTAGTTAGAGTCGACGAATTAAACAGGTCAGTCCACAGAAAACATAAGAAACATTTACTCACCTAATCTAAATGGTGTCGGAGTCGTTTTTAAAGCAAAGAAATAAGCGATTTTAAACCAGAAACATGAACTAAACCTGTTAAAACAGGACAGCTGGTTCTCTGTATCCATAGTAACAGAACGACCACGTGACGTGTTACGAAGATGCGTTCACGTAACCTCGTAGATCGTAGAGCAAATAGATTCTCCAGAAGGCCAATGAACTGCTTTGACTTCTTTGGATGATTTGCTGTACTGTATATTTTAAGTTATTTGAAAAGCCTAAAGCGGAGATGTGTGGAGATGTTTAAAGTGTGTCCAACATTTAAAGAAGAGCCTTTTACAGCAACATTTCCAAATGCTGGTAAAGTTTACCTCCAGAAATAAACTTTGAGCTATAAACTATAGCATAGAATAAGTGAAAAACTATTTTATTTATGACACACGTACAGAAAACCTTTTTTTTCTTTCTTTATTAATTTTTTGAACAATTTTCACATTTATTTTCTCATTTGTATTCCTAACAATTAATACTTGTAGTTTTTTGTATGTTGAATTTCCAACATTTCTATTTGTTTAAGTTTAAACTGAGATAGATGAAATGTTTTAAATCTATTTTTTTTAAAGAAAAGGCATCAACAGCTGCAGGTACATGAAAAGGTCAGATATATTTGGATTAAACATATTATTCATATTAACTGTTGAACAAACTGGGCTATAATGAAACAAAGATGCAATTTCTTCCTTTGCACAGAATTTGCTTCCAACAAAGTTAATTCAGTTTAAACTATAAGCTCTACTAAAAATCCCATGGCTGCTTATACTAAAAAATCTTAAATATTGATAATATTTTATTTGCTCAGGGGGATTTGGGCAATGCTGATCCATCACTGAACTCTGCGTTTCAGTTTTGGCCGTCCTGTTTCTCCTGGTAGAAGATGTTTCCATCCGGCTGCTTCATCCACCTCAGGCTGATCTCTGCAGTCACTCCTTGGTCCTTCAACTTCTGCTGGAGCTGAGATTAAAATAATAATTTAGCAAAAACAGGCCCTCTCTTACTAAGTTAACTTAGACTAATCTATTCTGCATCACACAATATGTATTTTCATTTTTAAAATGATATAAAAATGAATGTGTTGAGACTGAGAACCTAAAAAATTAAAATATAAGTAAAGTTTTGGTAAAGCCATTTTGCATTCTTCAATGAATTGCATGATTTCCCAGGAAAACCATATGGAGTTCCAACATCTCAGTGTTCCCATTGTACCACTGACCTGCAGTCGCCATGATGCGCTCTTCTAAAGCTCTGGATTGTGCTAAATTTATAAAATTACATCTACATTTTCTCAGGTTCCTGCCCTGATGCTGTCGCCACCGTTTCACATCTGCACAAAAACTTTCTTTCTCACAAATGGCAGAATTTCCATATTTATTTGAAGGGTTTCTGCTCCTCCACCATCAGTTTTGCCTTGTTTAGAGGTTGAAACACCATCATTATTTTCAACAGACTGAGTGGTTAAAGTTCCATCATCATCACTGGAAATTATGCCAAGACTTATTTTTGTAAAATGAATTTTACTTTCGAACTCCAGTCTGAACAACTGATAACTTCAGCTTTCAGCTAAAAGACATTTAACCCAACATATGTACATAAACCCCATTAAGGGGTTTAATGGGGTTATAATGCCCACAAAGTCTTTTTGACTTTGTGGGCATTAGAGCAAACCCAATGGATTTTTTTATTTTTTATTTTTTTGCACTCCCTTGCAAAATATTAGCATTCTTTTGCCATACTGTCAGTATCTTGTCTTTCTGCTAAGGTTTTTCGATGTATGTTAATATTGCATTAGTGAGATATCTGAAGATGTATATTTTTTTCTTGAGAATATAAAATGCAACACCAACTGCAAAATGTGCAAAATGCAAAACCTAAACAGTTTGTTCATGGGCTTCCCATCTCTTTCCATTCCCTCTAAGACAAACAAAAACCTTCCATAGGAAAGAAAGAAAGAAAGAAAGAAAGAAAGAAAGAAAGAAAGAAAGAAAGAAAGAAAGAAAGAAAGAAAGAAAGAAAGAAAGAAAGAAAGAAAGAAACACGCAGCACAAAGTCCGGTTAAAAACACGTCCAGTGCAAACAAAAAGCCTCATAACCTCAAGATACAAAGATTTAAAGTGAGAAAGTTACTATATATACAGAGCCTTACAAAGTATTGACCTCTCCTCACATTGCAGTTGTAAGTTTCATTGTGTTTTTTGGGACTTTATGTGACAAACAGAGAGAGGGTTCATTGTATGTTGACCTTCAGAGTTTTAGAGAGACAACAAGAAACTGACAGTCCTACTGTGAGTTTACAACAAGCTACACAGAAGCCAAACATAGAGGAAGGTTCCTGCATCATGGTGGTGGCAGCATTATGCTGTGGGATTCTTTTCCTTGACAGGAACCAGGCTGATGGCACTGAATCCAGGAAAATCCTGGAAGAAAACCTGCTGGAAAGCCGAGACTGGCTGGAGGTTCAACCATCCTGAACCATGGTTCCATATCTTAGAATGGTCTAGTCAAAGTCCAGAACTAAATTCTGGACTGACAAAATGTGAAAATTAACTGTTTTAGATGCTTTTCATCCAATCTGATGAGCTGCTTTCAGTAGAAAACTGGGAAAAACCCAAAAAGTTCCTGGTTCTAAAACGTCTCTGGCTGTTTAAACAGAATCGGAGCTTATTAAGGCTCTGCATACATCACATGTTATAGTACTACATGTCTTTACTATAGTTCATAACATTGATTAAATCAAGAAAACATGATCCCAGTTACCTGATGCACCAGTGATGTAGAGAAGAATTTTCTCCATCCTCCTGTCTCCACTGGTTTCCAGTCTGTGGCTGCTGGTTTCCAGTTTCGAACCTTTAAGCAGCCAGAGACCATGGCCTCCAACATTTGCATTTCAGTGAACTCATGTTTATTTTGACATATATATTCTCTGTCCAAACCTCTCAGACATGCTGTTCATTTGACTCACCTGGCAGATCAACGCCTTCAGGACGGAGAGTCGCTGCTCAGCAGGAACCCAAACATTAAGAAAACGGGTTTCTGGAGCTTCATGATGTTTCATAAGGATTACGAAACAGAGAAGAAGAAAATGGTCCAAATCAAACATGCAAATAAGAAGAGAGTGATGGACGTGACGTTTGACTGATTCTTCTCTTTTTATTGCATTTATTTTTACAGATAAAAACTTAAAACATCCAGACACAGAAAAAGATTCTCCACATTTCATTTCATTTATTCTAGAAGAGAACAGATTTTATCTGAGTTTAGTTTAAATGCAGAAGGCTTCAGCTTACAGCAGTGAAACGTCTCAGAAAAAAAAGGTAAAAGTTAGCATGATGCTAACAGAGTAACCGAGGAGGAAACGCTTCTGTCTCAAAATGATATGAAAAACAAAAGCAATTAATTAAATATAATAAACAGCAGTGTTTTAACAAGCAGCAGTGTTTCATGACTTTCAGAATTAAAGTCTGACTTCCTGTTAAAACATGAACAATGTGGGTTTACTCTGTGATTACGGAAACAGTAAATCTGCACACAGATATTTGGGTTAGGTTTTAGAAAGATGAAATTCTTACAAATGTTTCAGTCACATTTGATTAAGCTAAAAAATCATAATGTTCTCATGTGAATTTCATTTAAAGCCACAGAAAACATGAGCTGTATCCCTGGAGCAGATTTCTCCCCCTCATCCTTGGACTGCCTGCTCCGTGTAGAAGATCTTCCCACCGATCCGCTTCCAGCTCAGACTCAGGTTTCCTTTCAGTCCGTCATCCATGGTTATGTTACCATGACGACGCAGATACCTGGATCTACATCACAATGTCATCAGGTGACTACAAACACACTGAAGCAGTGAACAGATGATTGGAACAAATAACTTTCTCCAGTTGGATGGAAACTGAAGTTATTATCTTTGGAGAGAAGCAAAACAAGAGAAGTAAAGTCAACTCAACTCCAGGAAACTGAAAGCAACAGAAACGATCCAAGACGAGCCAAAGGAAGAACCAAACCTACAGAACCAAGCCGGGTTTACCTGGTTGAGCAGGTCAGTCTGGACCGCTGCGTCATTCAGGTCCAGAGTGGAGCTGCTCAGCTTTATCTTCATCACATGCTGTGTAAAAGGAACCGGGTCTGAGGAAAGAAACAGATCCTTTAAAGAGGCAGTACTATGTGTTTTCCAGGCACAGAGAGCCATTTTATAATACAATCAACTATCACCATTACTGTGAGTTACTATAAAAATTATATATCAATTATGACTTCTAAAAAATTTTACTTCCTTTTTTAACAGCTTGTAATTGGGCCTTTGTTTCTTTAAAACTCCTGCTCTTTCTGAAGCTCCGCCTCCAGGAAGTCATCCCAACATGGCTCCTCTGTTAACCTTTAAGGTTTGCACTGCTCTGAGCAGCAGCTCCTATAATGATTGCTAATTGCTAATGGCTAGTCTAAAGGAGCTGAGTGGGGGAGGAGCTGTGCTTCGAAGGCGGGGCTATGTCCACCCAGGTGTTTTGCGCAGCTGAATGGTTGCCATGGAGATTAAATCATTTCTCAAACATGCATGAAAGAGTCAAAGCAACACTCCAGGGAATAACATTATGACATGATGGAAAGCTAAAAACAGGTCAGTTTAACATGATACTGCCCCTTTAATTAGTTACATCATTTCAGGCTGGACTGTTGTCCATCGGTCCAGTAGGAAACCTTTTCGACCCTAACATGTTCTACTTCTTTGCTGAGCAAAGGTAAGACACGGCGTACCGTAGTGGCAGATGAATGGCTTGGCGTAGCTGCAAAACCAGTCCCTCCATCTGCCCGTGTCGTTGAAGTACGCTGTGGTGCAGTGCTCAGTGGAGCCAGCAGGCTGGCCGGACGTCCAGTGGCTGCCGTCTCCGTTCGACCACTTCCAGGTGTCTCTGTAAAGGCCCAGCCAGTAGGACTCCCCTGAAGGCTTCACTGCCAGCAGCTTGCTGTTCTCTGCTGACGTCCTCACACTGGCCAGGTCCATGTAGTTCGTCCTGCAGTGGCTCTGCGCTTGGCTCCACGTCATCAGGGAGTTCACAGCAAAAAATGATGCTGACTGAGCTGAAAGCAAACAGAAGTTTGACTGTAAAAAAATGTAAAATGCTGCGTGGAACCATTGAGAACATCTGCTGCTCAGGGAAATGTCCAAAAAGGAAAATATCAGAGTTAAAATGTAAAAACATTATTCACATTGCTGATCAGCGTGTGTAGATTTAATGATGCATGGGTGAAACCAAATATTTACATATTTACACTGTAAAAGAGACATTGACTTTAAGAGTGTTTTCTGTCCTGATAGTCCAGTAGACTCGGTTTGATTGGGAAACAAAACTTCACCTTCTGCTCCCTCTCCAGCTGCTGTGGTTCTCTTACTCTATGCTCTGCTCAAACCAACCAAAAAGTTTGAAAAACCTGTTCCCCTCCTCACCTGTGGGGGCGCTGCAACGAGAACCACTGACAGAAACAACACTAAAATCTCTGAAGACTCTTAGCGCAACTTCCTTTTCACCAAATGGAAACAAACATGGAGAGGCGTCAGATTTTAGCGGTTGGAGGATTTCTCTTTAGTCTTTGGCTAAAGACCACAAGCCATTTCTGCTGCTAGCGCTAGGCTAGCCTTTTAGCTTTGGTTGGATTTACCCAGAATGCCCTGTGCTGTCGTCCACTTACTGCTCTTGGAGCGCTCTCTGGTCCGCTAGTGCTTTCAAACCGAACTGGAGTTCACTTCCACCGGACCCAGACCGAGGTTTGTGGACGAACTACTGTTGCTGTGAATGTATGCTAAATCAGCATTTCTTTATGCTAAACATTAGAACATTAAGACGATTTTAGAGACACTTTTAGAGACACTTTTTCTAATTTGATCAGACTGTGAAGTTTATTTTGTCAGTATTTGGTAGAATAAGAATTAACTTTAGGACTCGAGAGAAATGTTTTAATATGACCATAACAGTTTTCTGGTTTTCTGTCCCATTTCTCCTGAAAGAGTTTAGGCCTCTTGTTCAGCCTTTTTCAGCACTCAGCACATTTTTTAGCGACTGAGAGCAGAGTTTAGATATTTTCACGCCAAAACATGAGCTTTATAGCTAACATGACAGCAAACTTTGGGACATTGTCTATTTTGAAGACGCTTTTGTTTTCAAGCTTCAACTTTTGATATCTTGATATGTTGCTTCCATATTTCCGCATAATGTTTGTTCATAATCATACCATGTATTTGTGAGCAGCACCGGATGGTTTGCAGGTTTTCACCTGTGGTCTTCATACCTGCATATGATTGTTTGAGCGGATAAACGCGGCTGGTTCTGAAGGTTTAACCAGGTTTGAACCAGACTGGTGGAGAGTTACAGTCCTCCACTTCCTGACTGATTTCTCCTGATTGTTTTCCCCTGACAAAAGCCATGACATCATTGTCTGGGCTTTCCCTAAATGTCAGCACACTAATGCAAACTTCTGACTGATTATAGATAATTATCTGGAAATGTGAAAACATTGTAGAAAATCAAGGCAGATTTGTTGCAGAACATGTAAATAAATTTGTGTCCAAACAGAAAAATTGATTTTTTATTTGCTCACCATTGCTGACAGAAATGCAGAGAGGTTTACGCGTCGCCTCACATGGAAGGTCGTTCCACTGCCCAAGGTCGTTCATCTCTGAGCAGGGCTCGTTGGACCCAGCGTTGTCTGGCTGCCCAGAAATCCAGTTCCTGTACTGGGTGCTGTAGCCTTGGTAGAAGGAGTCGTTCACCAGAGACCACCTCCAGCTCTGGATGTCTTCGTACAAACCGATCCAGGCCTGCAGGAAGCAGCAGCTAGAAGGTATCAGGATGACATGAATGATGGAGGAAACATCCAGCTGAGACTAAGCCAACCTTACATCTCTTTCACTGCCCATTTGGGTCAGGTTGACCATGTTGTTCAGGGTCGTAGCAACATCCAGGCTGCCCACAGTGGCCAGGTCTGTGTGTGTTTGTCTGACGCGCAGCCAGCGAGGCGGCGCCGCACAGAGCTGCAGAAAACAGAAAATAAAGTGATAAAGTGCACACTGCAAAAAAACAAAATCTTACCAAGTAATTTTGGTTTCTAGTGCAAAATCTTAGTTCACTTGAAATAAGACAAAACAAACTTAAAAGCAAATTTTCAGCAGAAACAGGAGCTGGTTTTCAGCCAGTGTCTCCTGAATATTGATGAAAAAGTTTCTAGTTTCACTGGCAGATTATTTAATTTATAACAAGACATTTTCCATGTTATAGAAACAATATGCTAATTTTATTTAATCAATATTAAGAAAATATTTACTTAAAACCAGCTCCTATACACATCTATACACATCTATACACATCTATACACATCTGGACACATCTATACACATCTATACATATCTATACACATCTGGACACATCTATACACATCTGGGCACATCTATACACATCTGGGCACATCTATACACATCTGGACACATCTATACACATCTATACACATCTACACACATCTATACACATCTGGACACATCTATACACATCTGGACACATCTGGGCACATCTATACACATCTGGGCCTTCTTCATGTTCACCGGAAACTCTGAGAGAATTTAATTTACTTAGTTGCACACACGTCTCATAAAAGTATTCAACCCCTTTGATGTTTTATTGCTTTTACAAATCAATTATCACAAAATTTGTCTTTTATGACAAAATATCCTGGAGGAAGGATCTACGGTGACGCTGCTCTGAGCTCCCATGATGCATCACTCTGTCCTTGAAGGAGACAAACCTCCACGATGAACCAGAACCACTGGAGTTCTCAGCTGATCTCCATCCCTCTCACTGTGAGACGACCAGCGCCGCCTGACTGGACCTCTGTTGAATGAGGTCAGTCACTTTAAACAGTCTAAATAATGATGCAATCAATTAGAAAACAGCTTCCTCTCTGATCTGAGACAATTTATTTTTTAAATATGTTATTAATCAAAAGAGCCAAATTGTGTTGATCATGACTGATTTTTAAAAACATCCAAGAGGAGCGAATTCTTCCTCAACAGCAGAGTTTCCAGTGAACCGGAGAAGGTGCAGGTGTGTCCGGATGTGTCCAGATGTGTCCAGATGTGTCCAGGTGTGTCCAGGTGTGTCCAGATGTGTCGAGATGTGTCCGGGTGTGTCCAGATGTGTCCAGATGTGTCCAGGTGTGTCCAGGTGTGTCCAGATGTGTCGAGATGTGTCCGGGTGTGTCCATATGTGTCCAGATGTGTCCAGGTGTGTCCATATGTGTCCAGATGTGTCCAGGTGTGTCCAGGTGTGTCCAGATGTGTCCAGGTGTGTCCAGATGTGTCCAGATGTGTCTGGGTGAGTCCAGATGTGTCCAGGTGTGTCCAGATGTGTCCAGGTGTGTCCAGTTGTGTCCAGATGTGTCCGGGTGTGTCCAGATGTGTCTGGGTGTGTCCATGTGTGTCCAGGTGTGTCCATGTGTGTCCAGGTGTGTCCAGATGTGTCCTGGTGTATCCTGGTGTGTCC